TTTAAAAAAAAAAACAAAACCAACTTAACAAAAGGCCCACAATTTTATTTTATTTTTAAAAATGGCCCAACAACTCATATTCCCCATCAATTCATCCCTGCTCTTTATTGTGACCGACGGCTCTGCAAGTCTACATCCAAGTTTCAACCTATAAATTTTGGAGGAGTCAGCACAGGCGGCCGTGCAACATTGTCGGGTGCTGGCTCCACTACTGCACCCGCCATTAGCGAAAATGCTACTTTGTTTACAACCAATATTAATCATACACTCATGAGAACGATAATTTTCTATAAAAGGGACAAAATGGTAGTGGAGAGAGATCGGAACAAACATTTGAATAGTTGTATATAAAATACAAACAAAATTAACGGTAAAGTTGACAAGATTATATAAAAACCAAATGAAATATTAAAAAAAAAACCAAAAACGAATGAAATATTCAAAAAGGAACAAACAATTGAGGATTGAAAAGTCCAATTTCAAATGTTGGAGACGAATTTTCTGGAGTCGTTAAAGGTACAAGGACTAATTATACAAAATTAGCAGAGAAACATATTTACAAGTGAACTGACATTTTTCAAATTTATATTTCATTTATCATTCTACTTTAAATTACAAAAAATATAAAAAAAGAATTCCCAAGAAGAATACTTTTGGACCACCATGATAAGGATACTATTCGTCGCATATATGAATTGGCGAATCCAGCTGTTTTCCTCTTTAGGCATTCTTCTCATGCAAGATTATTTTTCTTAAACCAACTCCACCACTTCTTACTTTTAGGATGTGGGAATAGTATCAAAATTCATTGTCCATCAAAATAAGCAAACGTAGTAATGGTGCCATCGAGTAGTGAAGACAATATAGCCCAAGACGGATATAAGGGATTATTGCTCAAGCAGGGTTAGGTCATGCATAGGTCAACATGATGTGGCACTTTGCTCGAACGAGGATTGTCCAGCACGTACAAACTAAATCTCTATATTAGTTAAATACAGATAGTCTCGAATTTATAAAGAGATTAAAGTATTGGTTAACTTTTAAAGATGAAACACCAAGATCGTTATTTACTAGGATTTTTAGACATACCATTCTTAAAGAAGGTGGATGTCACTTACTAGATTTCTAAGTGAATAATGCCTTTCTTGTAAAATATCTTAGCCGTGTTAGATTTTTCTATACATTAGAGCTCTTCTATTCAATCTCATATTCTTCTGAACTTCCCACGCGACCTCTGACCTCTTGCAAATACTTTCTTTGGCTTAAAATGAAGTCTTCTAACTTGACAAAAGAAGGTGACTGATCTTCTAAAGACATGAACTTCCTTAGTTATTGCATCAAAATTATGCTATTCATTTGAATTCAAATCTCCCTCTTTATTATCAACTGGAAGGTTTAGATTGATTGAGCTATGCTTAGTCTTTTAAGTCTTAAGCGCATAAATCTCGTGTGAGCTTGTCTTTTCCGTTCACTTGTGATGATTTTATTGATTTTTATAACTACAAACGCTTTCGTATACCAAGCCCGACATATGAATTCTTTATCTTTGGGTAGTTAAATTTGTGACCTGAATGGTGCTACGAATGTTGAACACTTGTCATACCTCTTCCAAAATTCTAAGAAACCTTTCTTCGTACTCGGCAAAAGGATTTGTAACACAAGGCCTCCTATGCTTGTGTCATGTAAGGTGCCATCCTTAAGGCCACGGTATAACACTTCCATGCCTCGTATTCATCCTCTCTCACAATTGCAACTCATCTAGCATTGGAAGTTTTTCGACAAAAAGAGTGGATAGTGATTACGACCTTGGGAGCCCTGAGCACTGGACTGGATGTCTAAGGACAAACTTATAGACTGGGATACACTTTATTATCAAGAAATCAGTCAAGTTGTAGTTATATGAGGTCGCTAGTAGCATGATGACGCCTTTGACCACTATGTCTTAGTGCTTGTTTGGTTTAAATTACAGTTTGATTATAATTTAATGGTCAAATTCAAAATTAGACTTTAATTTTAATTAGACATTTCGTAAGATCTACAATTACAACACACAATTTACATCACTCATTTCTATTGCTTTATAATTTCAACAAATTATTATTTCTCTCAAACGAGCACTTAATTAATATTGCAGGGTGGAAATATTACGTTCCTTTGCTATTTGCTAAGTCGCAAGCTCTTCCATTTTCTTTTAATATTCCACAATTTTCTTTCCAGGATCACTAACATTTATTCACAAACATAATTGTGCCATGAAAAGGTTGGGAAAATTGCACTATATTCATTCTCAACTTATTTCTGAAAGTTTTAAAAAAGAGTTGCCCTTCAAACTATTTGCTTTAATTGCAAAAATAATCATCAACAATGGGAGTGTCCAACTTTCCAATAATTTTTCTAGTGAACGCTACATAAATGTCCATGTTAGAATAATGCTATGTAGCATCAACGATGCTTAGCACATATTCTATATTGATGTCAACTGTATAAAAAGATTGTCACATAAGAAAAATAAACAATGTCGACAAATTTTATTTTCAAGGCAATTTAATTGAAACTCTATCTGGCATTCTGGCTGACAAGAGAAAAATAGATATTATGAAGAGTTCCGTCTGTACATAGGGACTTTGTTAGACGAAATGAGTTAGCAAATTTTAATCTCTCTTGTTTTTTTATTTTTCTCCCATATTTTTTTTTTATTTTTTTCCCTCTTTAATCCTCTATTTTATGTAACTAAAAATTAGATTTTCAAAAAATTTCAATAAATTTTATTAATTATTTTAGCCATACCAAACATTGATTAAAAGCATGTTTGAGCCCCATTTTTTTTTTTTTTCAAAAATACATTTTGGAATAGTGATTTGATGGAGAATGTGTGGTTAAAAAATAAGAAAAAGATTTGGAATTACGTGTAATATTATTTATTGAAAAATGTTTGGTTGAAAATAAGAGAAAGACAAGAATAATTCCCTATGTATTCACAAAAACCATACATGTGTTGTGTTAGCAGACATGTATGATGCATTTTCTGCCATTATTGGGTTCAA